AATTCTTTTCCTCTGGCTCTTCTGACCCACTGTCTCATACCCTCCTTTGTTCCTAATCAGATCCCACCCTCCACAAGTCCGTGGTTACAAAAGGATCTGTCTTCCAGGGTCCACCCCCATGGCTGTCCCTCCTATTTCAAGTTTTGAATACGTTTAACTGGCCTATATCCTCTTCTTTCTCCTTCCCTTTGCTGAAATCATTATCTAACACAATTATACTATTAAAAACACTATCAGAGTGTTTGTAAGAAAGACACAAAATAGAACATAATTACAATAAAAGCATCAGACATTCAAAAATCTAATAAGAAAATATATCTTTACATCTCTCTGCGTAACAAATTCATTAATATGTTAAACCAGTGGCTCCTAGACTTTATTAATTAACATACCACCTTCTTGCAAGCATGCTGTTTGTGGTACTACATGGAATTTTCTCCTTTCCGTGCATAGGATTTCAGATCTAAACAGGGCAAGCTTGTATTTCTGGATGAGTACAATAAATGTTTAAGGAAACTAATAATTTCCATGATAACTTGGCCCAGCCAGCAAATGGGAGTTGCGTCCCTTGAGGAATGCTGTGGGATCTGTGTTGTTTTGACATGGAACAAAAGTATAACCCCTGGAAAATGTTAATAGAGAAACTTCATTGAAGAAAGCAAAGACAAAGAGCCCAACAGAAAGGCAGAGTGAAACAGAGACTGTCCCAGAACAGACGGAGGGTCAGTCACCAGGCACTGTGCCTGCCAGCTAGGACTCACTCATTTTGGGTCTCTAACACAAATCAAGAGAGGTGTCATTCCTCTCCTGCTTGTTGGGGGCCTTCCTTTAGGCTTGGCTTCCAGCATTGACCTAAGAAACCTCCTGACAGAAGATTAAATGAGACACAGGTTGCCCAGAGAAGGTGTGGATAGTCATTGGAAGTCTTGTTGGGTAGGGCTTTGAGCAACCTGCTCTAGTCAAAGATGTCCCTGCCCATGGCAGGGGGGTTGGACTAGATCCCTTCTGACCCAAGACATGCTGTGATTCTACCACCACTTCTGTGAAGAGTGATGGCTCTGACAAACCAAATGTGTCACCCAAAAGGTCCCAACCAGCTCTGATGACAGTACAAATTGTAAAAATCTTCTGTTTTGGACGGAACGCTGTAAAGAAGCACAATTGAGCTGTCAGTATCATTGTTTACGATTTTCAAGTTGTGCTAAAAACATGTGCTGTAAACAATGCCATGCTACGCTCTGGCATGCTGCTGAGCAGCTTTCAGAGGCCTCCCTTCTCATCGCACCTGACTGGATTGGAAACTTCTGCTAACTCTTACCCAAACTAATCACAAGCCAAAATTCACTTTACTCTTCCACACTTAAAAACAACAACAAAGTATTTCGCAAATTCTTTAGTAGACCTCAGCACAAGTGAGGAAAATGCCACAAGCAAGAGGTGGCATGCACAGGGAGAGCTGGGAGCGCCTGTGCCGGGGGTCTTATGGAGAGGGACAAGGTTGGGGACAGCCCTGCACTGAGCTGTCCCCAGCTCCGGGCAGTCGGCCTCGCAGCGCTGCTCCACATTTGCTTTGGGGTTTTTTTGGCCCATCGTTTCCAGAAAGCTCAGGCAGAGCGAAGGATCTATGTACCACACAAAACACTCCACATCCTCCCATGGTCTGTTTTCTGTCTAGCGGCGTGGACCCTTCCAAGATACAACTAAATGACAGAGGCTACTTAATTTGTTGCCACAGTTGCTGGAAAATAGTCTGGAAAGCCCTGACTGCCGACGGAGAACTGGAATTTCAACTGACACCTGTAGTAGACAGGAGTTTCCAGGCTAGCAACATTTTGATTATTTCTCCTTCAAGAGAGTTCTGTGCAAAACTTAGTTTGCAAATGATAAAACACCCAGGCAGTGGCTGAAAGGGCAATTGCCTTCAAAGACACCCTCCGATGGCAGATGCCCAAGATCAAAAGCAGGTATGCAAGGACTG